CGCTTCAACGAACGAACAACGCGCGCCCACACACACACACACACACAGACTTATTTCTTTGCGGACGGATCTCTCTGGACGTCTCCTCTCGAAATCCTGGGAAAATCCTGGGAGAGGGCGGAGAGCGAAAAGAGCGAAAAGACGCGCTGGACAGGGTTTATGACTTAGGAAAAGGGGCATTCAGCAAGTCCAGGTGCAAGCAAAGGGCTCTTCAGAGCTGGGTCGAGCGGTTTAGGATGTAGGGCCTACAGCATGTGCGGCAAGGCATCGTCAGAGCTATTTATAGCCCCGAAAAAAGAGGTGAGATGGTGCATACAGTAGTTAGACGCACACACACACACACACATGCACACCTGTGAAAGTGCGACCTGTCTCAACACCGAAGAAGAGAGTTTGTGTGTGAGAGAGGAGACGCAGTGTTGTGGGATGCTCCAGAGCGCATGAGCACGTGAGCCATGGTTCGCCGCCGTTGAATGCAAACAAGTACAGGGCGCCGCTGCATGAACAAGCATGCTTTCGAACTTTCGAAGCCAGTAGTAGTAGAAGAACACTTCCGTTCGCAGAAGAAAACCGAAGCGCATCGAAGCGCACATAGCGAGCTCCAACAGATGTATGACGACCTCACCGCCAGTTTTGAGTCCCTAAACGTGGTAGCCTTGTGTGCGCAAACCCCGTTTTGCTGCCATGGCGCTCCTTGCCGAGGTCGGAGCACCGCATGAAGCAGCCTGAAGGGAATTCTTGAACCCTCGCAAAGCCTCGCAAAGCCTCGCAAAGCCTCGCAAAGCCTCGCAAAGCCCTACAAGGCCACAAAATCAACCTCGCCCAGCCCCTCCGAAGGCATTTGCACTGGCAGCCCCGCCCGTGCTGCCTGCCACGAGGCCGGAGAGGCTCAGAAGGCTCCTTGAAGATCCGGGCTATGGCTTAGGGCTTTGACATGATCTGAAAGTCAGATGGTCAAAACCCTGCCATGCACATCAGGAAATCACGTCTCTCCTCCTTACAGGCTCGCTTTAAAGCCTGGGCGGCCAAGACGTGAAGTTTGCGAGCGAGGTTGGCCACAGGGGCTGTGCAATGCTCTGCCTCTTGAGCACTGCTCGTGCAATGCCTTGCTGTCACCACCAGCAACTGAACCACATTCAAATCTGCTGGTCCTTCCCTGAAAGCTTGCATGCTCGGAAGACAAGTGCAATGCTGTAGCCGAGAGCTTGATGAAGGTGTGCCGTCGGCGCTGGCGGCGGCCACGGTTTTGGTGACGGGCGTTGTTGCGAAGAGGCAGCGCCACAGTAGGCTGAAAGCCCCTAGTCTTCGTCAGTGTCTATGTGAGATTGGAGGTCGCTCAGACACGGAAACTTCGCGAGTTATTGAATGGGGCGACTTAGTGCGGAGAAAGGCAAGTCTCCCGATTGTGTAGGCATCTTCTGGAAATCTTACCCCAGCCCCGAAACACAAACGCCTTTGCTGCCTCGACTTCTGCTTGACTGCAATGCCTCCAGTAGCAGGGGTCCTCATGAACGTCTGAACACCCGAAAGATAAGAGGTGCCATCGTTCGGAGCACGAAACACGTGAGCACCACTGTTGCCATAGGGTCCTCGTTCGGGTGGTGCAAGACTTGGAACCCTAGGCCCTAAAAACCATGAGGCTGAGCCGTGTTGGCTCAAGATTCTGGCTCGCTTGCAGTTTCTCTTGAAGTGGCAGTTTTTTTCGGTCCCGCACGCGTGCACCTCGTGACATGCACTGTCTCCGTTTTTTGCGCCTTGGATTGCGCTCCTGTGAAGACACTCATGATGCGCCATCGTCGTGGTTTTGGCACTGTTCGGGGCCTATGCCGGCAAAATTTGCTTTTGTATCTGCAGAGCTGGGCGCGCCTTCGTCATTTCAACTGGCTTGCGGGTGGCAAGAAAACCAGAACCCGCTGTGCTGCTAAAAAAGGGACCTTAAGCGCCCCGAATGAAAGCCTTCTTATTAGCCATTAAGCCCAAACAATTGCAAAGTGCCCCAGGCAGACGGCGGAAACGCGGGTGACGGCAGTGGCAAGAAGGGTCAGGATCTCAGCCCTTGCACGGGCTTGGAATTCCAAGGTTGGTCCAGGATTGTGTGGGATAGAGCCTGAGGAAGGTTGATCTTCTGGGCTTCAGCCCAGCAAAAGGATACTTTGGGGCAATGAAATCTGGAAGGCTTTGGAAGTATGTACAATCACGTAGGTTCAGGTTCATGACATTATATGGCGCTGCGACCCCGGAAGCACCCGATTGCTTCAAGGTTGGGCCCCGGAGGAACAGCCGCCTTACAGCGCAGACGGACGCCTGCATGGTTTAAGCATGTGGGATATGCATACACATGCAATGCAAGAGGAAGTTTATGTACAGACAAATACAAATTGACAGGTAAATGTAGTTATAGATATAGATATGAGTACATGCGCAGACGCACATACAGACAGGCACACAGACACAGACACACCACCGGGGGGGGGGGGGGCGCAGGGGTAGCACGGGCGGCGTTTTTATACCTTCAACCCAAATCCAACCCCAACTCCCCAAACACACCACGGGTCAAAACCTTAGACCCTAAACCCCGAACCCTAAACCTTAAACACTAAACCCTAACCCCCAAACCACACCCACACCACAGGGGGGGCGAGGTGGTAGGCCTAATCCTTAAACCTTAAACCCGAAACCCTGAAACCCGAGCCCCAACCACACCCACACCACAGGAAGTAAAAAGGAGGGAAAAGGGATCCAAAGGAGGATGAGGGGGTGGATACCATGGGGGTGGGGGGGGGGGGGCGTGCCAGCCCGGGACCATACGTGTACGCATGTGTGTATGTGTGTATGTGTGTATGTATGTATGTATGTATGTATGTATGTATGTATGTATGTATGTATGTACGTAGGTATGTATGTATGTATGCATGTATGTATGTATATGTATGTATACATACAAATCTTACACACACACACATATATATATATATATATATGTGAGATGTCACAGTATGTAAATATAAAAAATATAGAAAAAATCCGGAGGAAGTTGGGAACCAGAGATGTAGGGTTGAATGCTGTGTATTGTCCTTGAAAGTTGTTGCCTTGACCCCTCAGTGGCTTCCAGCAGGCCAAGCCAAGAACCCCGTTGTTGCAGGGGCCAACAAGCCATGTTCGGAACTTGAGTTTAAGCGTGTAGGTGGTGTTTAGGATACATGTTCGGGGAACGTCCTCCTACACAGCCTTCTCGATCGATAGCACGAGCCAGGCAGGTGGTCATCGAGATGATGCACCCTAAGCCCTAAAACCCCAAATCCCAGCATCCGAACCCGTTGCTTGGCAGGTGGCGAAGGGAAGCCCTAAACCCTAAAACCTGGAACCGAACCTCCAAGCCACATCTCTCCGACGCAAGAGCTTTTGAAGTGCAAAGACGCTCTGTGGTCCTGCCAGGCTTGCCGAGCCGAGCCAAGGGACAGCTCCAAAAGCTCCCAGGCAAGTCCTTGAAGTCCTTGAAGCTTGAACCCGCTGGCTTCTGAGCGTTCAGATCTCGAGTTTTGGTGTGGCCTTCGGTGATTGTTGGTGTGCTTTTTGAGGTGGTGGGCAGTTGGGCTGCGGGTGTGCAGCGTTAACGTTGGTTCGGGAGTGCCGGATAAAGAGCTTGCCTGGGTTCGTGGCTGCCAACCCTTTGTGCATCTTCAGGCTCCGAAGGGAGCAGCCTCTCCCTGAGGATCCAAGGAAAAATGTATGCAGACTTTCATGGTTGACTGGAGATGTGCCTGCCCACCATGTCTCAATTGACAGGCGCCGAAGTCCCCTTACGAGGAGCAGGCCGCGTGCAAACCGCACCTTGATTCCTCTCTTTGAGGATGTGAGCATGCCTGGCATTCGTTCAGAATGTTAAGAAGCCCTCTATCTGAGGCGCAGGCCAGGGTTTTAGCCCAGCTCTGCCTTGCGGCAGGATCCGATGGAACTGATGAAGCAGCTGTCGCCAACCCAGCAGCCGACAAACTTCCTTAGCAGCACTATTTACGACATCAACTGACAAGAATGGAGTAGTGGAGTAGTAGGGAAGAATGATCATTTTAATGCGTTTTCGCCCGCGCTGCTATTTGATGTTCGTCTAGTTAAGTTGTTGAAATAGCGTGACCAGATCTCCAGTTCCCACCCCTTAAACTGCGCAGTGCCTTACAACTCCTCTCAAGCCCTTGGACAAGATCGCATCGTATCAGTACCAGGCATTGCTGGCAGAGATGACCGCGCCCCTTTTGTCTTAAATCCTAAACTCGAAACCCGAAGTCATGCCTTTGCCCGTCCCTCGCCTCTCGAAAGGTTTGGCGGAGACTTCTCCACACCCCCAGGCCGCCTTCCTTACGGATGCTCGAAAGTTCATTTTCAGACAGGACGTGTAGACTTTCACCTCTTTGTTCGCTTCGGAGGAGAGTCGAAATCCATATGACTAGGCAAGGATGGTTTCGGTACTCCGTTGTTTCAGCTTTGGGCGAGGCGGTGCTGGCCAGGTGCTGCACCCAGAGCGCAGAGGTGTTCAGAGATCCACAGAGGGTCGAACCAGGTTCAGTTTGTGCCCTCGATAGGCGGGGAAGGTGGCAGTGGCAGGCCACAGGCACGTCCACAGGACTGCACAGGCATTTCAGCGCAAAGCGCGCTGGTAGCAGGCTGGTAGCAGGCTGTGTGGATTAGACTCAGCGGCAGGTCACGGGCTCACATGGCGTTGGGGAAGAAAGGGTAGGACATTGTTGTTTTCGTTCTTTTTTCTCGCAACGGTTTGTTTGGTGACCGCTTTGGTTTTTGGTGGGCTGCAGGATTGCGTGGTGGAGGGACCAACCACCCAAGGCCCTAAGGCCCCAAGGCCCTGTGACGCGTTTGCTAAGGCTGGCATGGAGAGCCCGGTCCCGAGTCATTTGGGTGTCGATGCGCTTAGGGCTTAGGTAGTCGGTGCTTCGCAGAGAATGGCTCGAAGCATGTCGTAGTTCGGGTGCTGTTCACAAAGCAGCGCCATGGCCGAGAGCGTCATTGATGACCTGGCGCAACTTCGCAAGGAGCGTGCGGCGGCCTGGAAGGAGCAGAAGGAGCAAACAGAGCAAGTGCTGAATCCTGAAGCAGAGCAGGCTCCTCTTGAGTCTCGCGAGGCTCCCGAGTCTTCCCAGGCTCGCCAGTCTCCAGGTGTTGCGGAGCCACAGCAAATGGCGACGGCGGAGCCAGCGGTGCCCGAGCCGGATCCCACCGCTGCGCCCACCGCAGGCAATGGTGTCGAGGCTATGCCGGCTTGTCATGACGAGATGGGTTCGCGATGCTGCCGGATCTGCTACGACACCTCGGAAACTGCCGAGACAGGGCGGCTCTTCAGTCCCTGCAGATGCGATGGCAGTGCACGTTTTGTGCACGTAGCATGTTTGAACAGCTGGCGAGCAAGTTCTAGCAATCAGAGATCGTACTACCGATGTGATACCTGTCACTATGAGTACCGACTGCAGCGTCTCTGGCTGGCGGATGTGCTTCTGTCTCACAGTGTGCAGTTGTCCCTCACAATTATCCTTTTCCTTGTTGGGGCCCTGGTGGTCGGCTTGATGTGCCATTTTGCGGCTCCTTGGGTGGTCGATTGGGCACTGGGTCATCTTCGGCTTCAGCCGTCGGTGCGCTTCTTCTTCACGGAGCAGGTCCAGGTCCAGGGCAATCCGGCCTGTTGGCACGGTGGCTACACGTACAGGCTCTGCTGTGGCCGAGGGCACCCTGGCAACCCAAAGTGCTGGGACGATGTTCACAGCTTCGAGAGCTGTTGCGAGGGCCCTCCTCAGATGCTTCAGTGGCTGCAAGCGTTCCTGGTGCGTCCTCTGCGCGTCCTGCTCGGTGGAGGCACGTCGGGCATGCACAGGCACGAGCATGCTTTCATGTGTTTTTGTGAGGCCTGCGGGTGTTGCTAAGGGCTCAGGGTTCAGGGTTCTAGGTTCTGGTCGCAAGGAAGATAGGAAAGCAATGGAAAGCAGCAGCGCAACAGGCGAGGATGGTTCAAAGCGTTTTGTTCAAGGGACCTCAGAGACAGAGAGTCCCGAACCTATGGCTCAACTGGCTTACGCACGGCCAAAAACACAGTTCGTGCCCGAGCATGGCCTCAAAAGCAAAACAAGAAGGGCAACCCTTCGGCGTCGCCTCGAGGAGACGACGGCGCGTTTGAGTTGCGAGTCGAGGCGAGCACGTCACATATTGGCCGCGTTTGGAAGGGCAAGCACATGCAAGCTCCATGTATTGAGCAGAACAGGCGCTGTAGACATCGTTCGCAGCACTCTTTCGAAGCCGTGGCTGTCAAGAGCAAGACGCCGGCTGATGATGTCCGCTCCCCCCGTTGGTGACAACCGATGTCTCCCACCCATTCAGATTCTGGACCCACAGACCTGCTAGCGTGCCACGAAGACTCTGCTCAGGTCGGCTGCGGCAATGTCGATGGCAGGGGCCGGCATCCTGTACAACAGGATCGCTGCGATTGGCGCTTGGACAGCCAGGGTCGTACAATGGACAGCTTGCCGCGCATCCGTGGTGAGCGCTTCGCCCAAACCTGCACATGTTGCGCATCACCTTTCTTTGTTTGGGCCAGGTTGTCGCGGACGGCGTGGGCAAAGGTAATTCTTATCCTGTGCACGCCGCAACATTGTCCCTTGCATCTGTCGCTTGCTGCCAAGACAAGTCGTGCCAGCCGCCTGCTCTAGAAAACTGTCCTCGACTCCTTCTTCGCCGCCCGGCATACAATGCTGACTAGAGAAGCGAACTGGCGGGTTGGTCGACTGTGCTAGATAGTTGGGCAAAGCGCACGAGCGTCCTACATCCGATCCTTGCAGATGTAACTATACCTCCGATGATGGCGGTGGTGTGCGCTGGCTTACCTGGACCTAGCTGCTTCGGTAACCCTGTGACCTCTTGCGTAACCTCCTGTCGAGCAGAGTGCGAAAGTGAGCTAGGCATGTGGCAACAGAAATCTCCAGAAGGCAGGTGGCAGCAAAATGCATACTGCATTTCAGCCCGAATCCCCTGGAGGGATGGGCCTGGCGGCGGTGGGCTTCGTCCTGTACCTCCGCAGGCAGTGGTCCGAGGCTTGGGGCCACGAAGGCCTGTCAGGGCTAGGGTAACAAGGGTTCAGGACCCAGAGGCCCAAGCTGACCTTTCGTACAGCCAAAAACTCTCATAGGGCAGAGGCTTGGAGCACCCTCCAATTGTGGCTTCTCTGAAGGCTGTCAAGCTTCAGCACTCCTAAACTCTAAAGTTTAAACGACTGCGTGAGTCGTTGGTAGTCTTGGCACATCATCCTCCACGCACTACCTACCAGCTGAGGTGGTGTCTTTCACATTGGTATGCTGGTGGCATACCTGTCGTCCTTTGGATCAGCCACTTGACTAAGCTTGGGCAAAGGCCAAGGCATCAGCTGCCGGTGGCTTTGCCAGTAGTTTTGTGTAAGGTTATCAATCTGATCAGTACGATTATTACGATTATGATGGCTGCCACTTCTCTAAACAACTCGTATAGTTAGACTGAGGTCGCGCGTCAGGGCGATTGCGCGCAGGCGTTTACGTGCATCATCTGTGTCCTAATGAATCAATACAATGCTATTATTCATGTTGTTGTTTCTTTGTTCATATGGTCATATGCGTGCTCATTTCGTCGGCTCATTCGCGGATTTAATGATTTCGTGTTCTCTTCATTCACGTCCTTATTCAATTATGCCATGTGAGACGGACGCTAATGAGAGCATAATATGGGTGTATGCAGAAACCCCTAAAAACTGGAAAAGAAGGAGACTTTTGGCCCGTCTATAAGTATTGATGAAAGGTGTCAACATGAATACTAATTAAAACGTCTATCAGTATTATTGAGTACGTGACGAAAGAAAAAGAGGAAAAGTGGCACACTCAAGTGGTTCTTCTCACATTCCGTCCAATGTTTACGGGGGGCCAACGGATAACTGGCGGTTAATATCATATCCTGTCATATAAGTTATATTAACAAATATCAATAGTCGGACAGTCAGATGCTCAACAAACAGAGACTCCCCCTGGCATCCATTCCTTTGGTACCTGATTTAATGTCCAAACTTCGGCTCGTTCTCCTTGTTAATTAAGGTACATCTGAGCGTCTGACCGCCTGTTTTTCGGCTCAGTTGCACGCCTGAGCCTCCCGGCCTGCTACGTTGCGGTTCAGTTGCCCACCTTAGATTCCCTGGCCGCCTTATTCAGGCGCTAAAGTGCCGTAAGCAGGCAGCACAGCCACAACGAATCCCGTGCAGGCCAGGTGCCGGAATATTGGCATAAGCAGGCAGGCAGAGCTACAGGGGGCGCGCCGCGCATCTTACATATTGAAATTCTATGTTTCAACATGACAAGCAGGGTAGAGGGCTGTAATAAACATTGAAAGGCGCGGGCGGAATGTGGCCTGGTTCTTAGTAAGTAGGTACCCCCTTCCCTGCACGGCAGCTTAAAATCCTTTTAGTTTGGGTGTTTGGGGGATTTTCGGAGTGGAAATTGTAGTTGTTGATATTTGTTGTGTTACTAGTATTGCTATGTCATTGTTGTTATTATTGCTTCATCGTATGGTTTCTATATCATTCACCAGGTGTTGTTTGTTGATTGCAATTCATTGTTTGTTGTTGTTCATTCATTGTTCATTCCTATGTTTCCTCATTGTTTTCTTTTTATTATTGTTACTTGTTGCGTATTACTTGCCATTCAGTCTGTATTGCTTGTTGTTTTTGCTTGAAGTTTTAGTTGCAGCAATACGCCTCTGCCGTCTGTAGCCGCAGGGATTCTAAACTTAGGGGGTTTTTATTGATTTTCGGGCCTGGCAAATCTTAATTGAGGGGGGCTTATAAACCTGAAGTGGACAGTCATAAGTACTATCAACCATCCTATTATCTACACTGTTGTGTCCCACAATTCTTCTCAATCATACGATTATCTGCACTGGTATGTTTTGCCCCATATTTGTCACCAACATCCCTATGTTGTGCTTCTTTTGGGCAGCTCCTGACCTCTCAAAGAGGCCCTGGGCCGCTTGGTCGCAGTGGTCGGCTCTGCCGTGGCCCTGAAGGAGCTCTTCCTGGTCCTGAGCCCACACTGCAACTCTGCGGCCCCTTTTTGTTGTGCCTTTTATTTTTTCTCCTGCTTTTAAACATTTTCCCTTTATGCTGGGCTTAAGAGGATCCATAGGTAAGAATTTTTCAGGAGGGCTTTAAGGGCCAACCTAGGTAGGCATCTGGCCAGTAGCGCCGGAGAGAGGATTCTGGAGGTCGGCTAAGTCGGCCCGCAGTTCAATCCTACCTCCTTCGCCTTGACACATGCTCTGCGTGATCGGCCAGCTCTAGATGGTGTCAGATGTACATAGATGTTTGATTCAGAGTTCGCTTGTGCTTCTCGTTATCGGCCTTTGATGGTTGTTCCTCGGTATTCGCGGGTTTGATGGAGAGCTAAAGGGGGATTGCATCGGTTTTGTCAACGAAGGAGTTGTCAACCACCATACATACACGAACCTCCGCATGTTCGGCTACATAACCAATGCCTGTTGCAGATGTCCTGCGGCGTATAGCGTGTTTTTTGACCCTAACCTCGGTACACGTAGCTTTCTTCGATGAGCATGTCGAATCGTACTCCGCCAGGACCCGGTCACGACGTTCGACTCTGACATAAGTGTTTGTCAGAGGTAGCTGTTGCTCGATGCGTACAGCAAACTCGAGGGATAGCCGCGGAAAGAAAAGGAGCTGCGAGGAAATGGCCTTAAGGAAGCACAAAAAAATTGCAGGAAAAGGCGCTGACAGGGATCCCAACACACCCCCAGAAGGGTGTTTTGCTTTCTCAGTGATGAGTCCGGTGGAGTGTGTGCAGTGCTCAGAAGGGCCAGAGGTTGAAGTCAAGCTTCTAATGCATTCTCTTGAATGTTGTTTCGGAGGACATGTAGTGCTTGTGCCCTAACCTGCGCTGAGATCCCCTGGCTGCTCTCATGGGGGCGGGGGCTGGGCAGCCCAAGAAGAAGGCCCCACCATCTGTGTGGCTTTCGAACTACCGTGGTTTGTCTCGGGAACCTGGGCAGCCATGCTGGTTGAACATGGGAGTTTAGAGAGAGCTGCGGCTTGCACTTGGAAAGGGCATGAAAGGGCCATCTCTGCCACAGTTACGAGACTGCTTCGTGACCCGAAGGTCTCCGACAGCTTCTTCACAGAGAAGGTGGCGACCTTTGGCCCTCACGTGACGTGCTGTGTGTCTGCCGCAGAATGCGCGACATAATATTAGAGACCAACAAGGGGGGAAATCAATGTAATTATTCCGGCGTCGACTCAAAAAAGTGCAAGACCACGACCAAAGCACAAAGGAGCACAATCCCAGGCCCAAACGAAAAGTGGCCACAGTTTCACTGGTTCCACTCTTTCAAAACAATTCCCACAAGACCGATGTGGGAGCGCGCTTTCGACTTCGGAACGCGCAGCACGGTTCGGGAAGCCAAATGTGCCACTTTCGTGGAGTGTGTGTGTGTGTGTGTGTGTGTGTGTGTGTGTGTGTGTGTGTGTGTGTGTGTGTGTGTGTGTGTGTGTGTGTGTGTGTGTGTGTGTGTGTTTGTGTGCGCGCGGGCGCCTACGCGGGGCTGGCAAGATCAGGATCCAAGGCCAGAAGCGACAGCAGTTCTGCTCTTCGCGAGCAACGTGCGTGCAGGCCCTGGTATGCGGCGCTAGTGCGTCGCACGCACACACACACACACACAGCAACCCCCTCTCACCCTTCGCTCTGGCACCAACGTTTTGGCCAAGGAAACAGACTGCATGTAATGCCAATGAAACCCAAGCTTCCGGCAAGCACATGGTGCTTATGTCAAGTCCAGAAATTCGGCACTGGGCTCTCCTTGTGGGTACGGCCTTGCGACCAGCATTGCGCGTGCTGTCCTTGTTTGCTGATGCTTGCTGGGCCTTAGCAGCCGCAGCAGCTGGTGTGTCGCCTGTGCTGCAGCGCAAACGCATTCATGCTACTAGCCCCATGCTGCGCAACATGCCAACAGCTCATCATCAGTGTGCCAAGCATCCTTATAGCCACCAAAGCCCTTGTGTTGCCAAGTTTCCGATTCTGCAGAAGATGAAGCGACCGGTGCCGGCCACTCAAGGAGCACGATGTTGAAATGTCCGTGTCGCACAAGATATTCAGTAATAAGAACTTCAACAATCTCTGACGGGGGCAACAAGGAATCTGAAAAGTAGAACGGCTGGAGGGCCGAATGGACCGTTTCTGATTCCCCCGCTTCAGCACAAGAAGCTTCTGTTTCGTGTCTGAGTCCTTATTTTTCAACTGAAGACTTGCTCCAGTCACTGCCCCCCTTACAACCCTATACCCTTCATGACCGTAGACCCCGAATCCGAGCTTCAAACGCTAAGACCTCTCAACCCCTCAAACCCTAAAACCCCTCAACCCCTCAACGCAAAATCTGAGCTGAGGCTGGTCGCTTTCTTCCTCTACTGCTTCCATAGGGGCTGGGTGGGGTCGTCGCCTCGGAATATCGGTCCTGGCTTTTGGTTACCATGCCGTCGATGCATCTGTCATTGCCTTGTGCCGAAAAAAAGCCTGCAGGCCATTGGAAGCCCAAAGCCCCTGATGCAGGCGCTGGGGCCTGGTGAGTGGGATGATGCCAGGGCCCAAGAGTTGCAGGGAGTCGTCACCGTTCTAAGAGCAGCTCAAAGCTAGTCTAAGTTCACGCCTCCCTGCAATAAGAGGGACAAGCAGAGTAAAGTAGGTCCTCCTTCCGTACCCGGCGAGCGTGCTGGCTCGACATGCGCCATCGAGGTACAGTACAATAGGACACCGTAGAGCTGAGTGCAGCTAAAGTGCCGCTCAACCACTGCTAGCGGCTCGTGTTGAAGGTTTTTTAATTTTTAGCGCTACAAGCGCCCCATGCTTTTTTTGAGCAGCCCTAGGTCGGCGACGTGCTACGGGCATGCAATGAAACAAGGTTGCTGTCCCTATCCACAAGCCCTCAGGGCTGGATCCTACTTCGACATGCTGGCGGTGCCGCTTCGGGTACTCGAGAAGTCCCGTCCTCAAGCCATCGAGAAGCCTTTGCAGGAAATGGATGTCAGGCCAGATGATGATAAACAGAACCCCACAAACCTTCGGGAGTTGGGCCTCGATGCCAAACTGAGGAGCCCTTTCCGAGGACGTGCCTACATTGTGACCCAGATCTATGCCCCTTGGGATTGCATGAAGCAAACAGAGCGGTGTGTCTTATGGTCATACCCCCCCCCTCTTTGTATTCTTGTCTGAATTGAGGTAGACTACCTCTTTAAGCTGATTGGCTACCTGATCAACTTGGCAAAGGGGAAGGCGCGAGGATGGGAACGAACAGTTGAGGTAAGCTCGGGCTCGGCTAGTCAAGGTTTAGGATGCAAGAGGTTCCCCAGTTCACTTTCCCAGCGTATTTCTCAAAGGCTAGAATTTCAAAGGGTTTTCTGGTGTCGGTTGAGCAAGGGGGAGAGAGAGAGAGAGAGAGAGAGTGACCCCCGTGCCCCCAGAAAGAAAGAAAGAAAGAAAGAAAGAAAGAAAGAAAGAAAGAAAGAAAGAAAGAAAGAAAGAAAGAAAGAAAGAAAGAAAGAAAGAAAGAAATATATAAATGAAGAAAGACAGAAAGAAAGAAATAAAGAAAAAAAGAAATAAATAAATAAAGAACGCAAGAAATAAAGAAAGAACGAAAGAAAGAACGAAATAAATAAAGAAATAACGAAAGAGAAATAAAGAGAAAGAGAGAGAAAGAGACAGAGAGAGAGGTTCAGGGACTTCTGCCCTGTCCTCCATGCCCGGTAGAAGAAGAAGAAGAAGAAGAAGAAGAAGAAGAAGAAGAAGAAGAAGAAGAAGAAGAAGAAGAAGAAGAAGAAGAAGAAGAAGAAGAGAGAGAGAGAGAAAGTTGTAGGGGGTTGTTAAGGGGGCTTCTTGGGGACACACAGTCTAGACCCGCAGGTGCACACAGCAAGTAGCACGAAGGTTCTCCGTGGGGAAATTTGAGGGAGGTTTCAGTTTCGGGGTTAGGGGTCATTGTGTCTTCGCGGTTTAGGTTCGAGGGGTTGACGGCCTGTTTGAGACCACGGATAGCCGACCTTGTCACAGCACCGTCCTCCGAGGGCTCAGCTAGATTATGTGGGGCTGTCTAGACCTAGGGTAGGTTGGAATGGGAGGGCCGGGGGCGACACGTGTGTCACCCACGCGGGAAGGCGAGTAAGGGCATGGCGCGGGGCTTAGCAGCAGAGGGCTTGCTAAAGACTAGAAACATGCCCGCCCCCACACCCCCAAGAAAGATTGAAAGAGAGAGAAAGTAAGTGCCTTGTAGCCCCAAAATGGATGCCACCACTCCCCTGCGTCGTAGTCTTCGCCAAAAACGGAGGAACAGGAAGAACGTTAATTTAGAGGTTAGCGTATTAAGTTCCGGCTTGTGTGACGTGTTTGGGTTCTACCCTTGTGTTGTAGAAGGAAACCTCCTCGGGCGAACGTTCTCACACCGACTTGACACAGACTTGGGCGCGCATTGTGCGCGGGGGGCGTGTGGGCGCCCTTCAAGCCCCGAAGAAGAAGAAGAAGAAGAAGAAGAAGAAGAAGAAGAAGAAGAAGAAGAAGAAGAAGAAGAAGAAGAAGAAGAAGAAGAAGAAGAAGCAGAAGAAGCAGAAGAAGAAGAAGAAGAAGAAGAAGAATAAGAAGAAGAAGAAGAAGATAAAGAAAGGGAAATAAGGACAAATAAGTAAACAGAACGAACAAGAAAGAAATAAATAAATACAAGAAAGAAGGAAAGCAAAATACAGAAATAAAGAAAGAAAGAAATGACGAAGGAAGGAAAGAAACAAACACAGAAAGAAAGAGCAAGAGAAACAACAAACGAAAGATAGAAGGAAAGAACGCAAGAAAGAGAGCCAGAGGGGGAGACAGGGGGAGAGAGGGGCGGTCCCTTCGAGGACTAATGTGCGGAAAGGAAGGGAGGGAGAGAGGGAGGGAGGACGGGGAGAAGAAGAAACATCGATCTTCGGCTAGAGAGAGGGGGTTCTCCAGCTTCCCTGCGCCGGTGGTGTCGAGTTGCCTTGAGCCATGGGGCTCTCAGGACTTTCCCTTGCTTCTTATGCGCCAGACAACGGAGTTGTAGTTCTTCCGAGCACGCCGGGCACGACTTTGCAGGCAAAGTTTCCTCCAGATTTCTCATCCATGTTTGTCGGGCGCTTACTCCCGCTGAAGTGACTCAAGTGTGAGCAAACTCTCGAACACGACCCTCGGAACCCTCGGAGCCCGGAGCCGAGACCCTACAAAACCTGGTAAACCAGCTTATAAGACTCGGAGAGGCTGCTAGAAACCAGAGCCTTAGCAACCGGTTCCTCATTTCACAGTCGTGGAGTAGAACTGTGAACCCGAAATCTACTTGTGGCCAGGGAGTGGAGGGGAAGTTACAGCTTTGACCCCACGAGAGAGCAAATGCCCAGACCCCGCCGGGCGCCGGCGCCGGCGGTGCCAATCCCTTCGGGGCTCCAGGCGCGTGGCAAAGGTTGAAGGAGGTCAAAGAGATCATGCTAAAGCTGCGGTTTTAGCAAGAAGAAGCCCAGACAAAGCTCTCTCTGCCTCTGAGAGCCGGATGTCAACTTGTAAGATTCCGCCAAGATCCGCCAAGCCCTGAAACTCTGAAGTGTCCAGAGGGCGGAGACACGGAGCAATGCAAGACCCCCGATTATTGTCGGTTTGGACGACTCATTTGCGGGCAGGTGCCAATCCGTTTGGCGCTCCAGGTGCCAACCCCTTTGCTGCGTCCGGGCTGCACTGAACTCTAAAGGCTTAGGGGCTCAGGGGCTCAGGGTGCGAGGGGGCAAATTGTCGTGGCATCCTGAGGACCTTGGTGGCAGCAATCCCTTCGACATAGGTAACATGCCTGACGTAGACGCAGCGGCCTTAGTGTACCACTCTTCTCCGGGCTCCAGGCGGCCTTCCTGAACGCCCCTTCAACTGTGAGGTTCCACCGCCGGGAGGGCCCTACCAGGCACCGCCTGCCAGCAGCTCAGGGCACGGCTGAGTTCGAGGGATCCTCACATTCTGTGATGCAGCTGCACCACGGAGGTGCAGCCGACGGACATGCCGACCGCGGCTGCCTTGGGGTAGGTTGTCTTAGGGATCAGAAGTCCGGACAGAGGGTCAGGCTTGCAGAGGTCATCCTTGTCCGAACTTTCATGCTGCTGCAAAGTGAGGCTCCGACGGTGCGCCCCGCCACGCCAGCGCCGGGAGACCCAGTCGAGACCGGAGGTTGCGATTCCGAAATCAATTACACCCAGACGCCACAAGACAAATGAAGCGAGAGAAGCGCGCCGAAAGCACCCCAGCATCCCCCTTGAAACCCCCAAGAACTGACCCCCCCCTGTCAGGCCCAGCCCTGCGTCGATGCCGAGGCCCGGTCTTGAGCTGGGAGTTTGGGGTCAAGAGCCTACGCGAAGGGGGAACAGCTCAAGACCGCGAGGCTCAAATGGGGGTTACTGGGCCTATCTGGCGGTTCATGAGGGGTACCCTAGTGTGGGAAATGCCACTCCTGCTTGAACGCGATGACCGTCCCTTATGATCGGCCCAAGCGCCTTTGGTCCTGAAGCAGAGGGCGGCCGGTACGCGGGGTACCTATTTCAAGCAAAAAAGGTGCTGAGCAAAGGCCGCTTTACGCTGCGGCCCGAGGCCTCGGTGGATTGCAGCAAGGGAAAAACTAAGGGTTTGCTTGAACAGCCTCGCAGGCAAGTGGAATGATATTGTGCAAAACAAGCGCTTGAAGTTTCTAGAATGACACCACTCACGTATTGGATCTTTTTTGATCTGAAAGGGGAATCCTTTTCATGCTGCAGGAAACGAAGCGGGCTTTGACATGATCGGAAGACGTGTGTTTCAGATGGCATCCGCAGTCTTGCCGTGCCATTTCTGCTTGCAATGGGCGTACAGTTTTTGACAACTTGATGCTTCTGACGTTCCCCGGCAAGAGGCGACGCTTTCTACCGGAAGCAATCCAATGTAATTTGGAACATAAGCTCAGTGATTAGGTAAAATTTTTTGGGCAATTGTATCGTAGGACTACTTGTTGTCCGCAGTAACAACGTCGAGTGAGATTCTCTTTTGTTCGTTCGTTGTCCCTTGCTTCGAAATAGAAACCGTAGCCATTTTGGCTCAAGCCTCGGCCACATCGATTTACTTCGCCTACTTAGACCCCCAGGTCCTCCTTTGCTTGCCCAGCTGTTGCTGGCATGTTTCTTTGAGCCTCCTCCGTGTTTGGGCGGCCAGAACTTGGGCGTCTTCTACCAGGGCTGCTGTGGGCAGCTGAGCAGCTGCGGGCTGCTGTGGTGGAAATGACGTCGTCTTCGTCATCTTCAAGTGAGGAGAGTGGGAGGCCTGGGCCTTCTGACCGTGCACCACCAATCCAGGTGTACGACAATCCGTGCCAGGGGTCTCGGAAGTATCGGGAATACCTTTGGAACAACTTCGAGCCCTTGTATCGACAGTATCTGGACAGTGTCGGGTGCACTGCTGCTTCTGCGTCGAGGAGAGTTGTTGTGGAAAGGAAGCACTTCTACACTTTGGTCTTCTACAACGACGCGATCGACAAGTTGTTCAACCTGCTTGGTCCAGTGGGCAGCGAACACCGGCAGCAGTGGCAGATTCAATTCGAGGCCCTCGACGGTCCCAGGGACTTGGAGCTACCTGATTCCCCGACACCAACCATTTCCTCATCGAGCTCGAGTACTGAGGCTTAGGTGTATGGCCCCCCCACCTTTTCGTGGAGTCATGGACGCTACCCGCCTCGGCGGATGGTGCCACGACACGCCTCTTTTCCTAACCTTGCCTGCCCGCCCGGGCGGATGCGGCAACGAAGTGAATGAATCGGAGACGGAACTCCGGTGCCACGACTTATAGTACGAATTTCGACTCCCGAGCGCACCGGAAAGGTTTTCAACTCGGCCCCCCCCTGTTGTGTCGCATTTCGTTTTCTGCTGTGTGAGGGGGCCTACTGTCTCTGCGGAGACTTTGTGGTCCGTAGAGCCGAATCCCGCAGCTGTTTGCGCATCTACAACATACACCCGTGCCCCCCTCACAGAGTAGGATGGCCTCTAGCTCCGCAGCCCCAGGGACTTCCTCAGCGGCAAGCGGCTACCCAGCGACCGTGATCGCCGGAGTCGATCCCGAGTCAGCGCAAGGACTTCGGATGCGAATCTCCTCCAATCTCTTCGACATCGACACCTACACGAAGGCGTCCGAGTTCGTGGCTCTTCGCTCCATTTGCGAACGCCAGTCCCTCCGAAATTTTCGCAAAGCACACCCTTGTGCCTCCGATGAAGAAGTGGGACGTCGCTGGCTAGCCGAGCTTACGGGGACAGCCGTCGACAGCGAGGGTCGGCCAGCCATCACCATCACCAATGCGGAGCAACGACCCGACCTCGATGCAGCGGACCAGAAGTCCAACAAGCGCGTCGGCGAGTACCTCAACTTCATCTCCAACCAGCTCGACAAGCGGGTCCACGAGAAGTCCCTCGACTGCACCTTCTGCGGCTTGCTCTTCCCCGCCTACTACCTGCTCGACATGCTCCCCGACGGCGACAACGACTGGCGTGGACGATCGTACCGGGCGTGCTACCAGTGCACAACGTGTCAGAACGACGATTTCGTTTGGCACTCCGATGACCCCCGCTTGAGCCCGGCCAATCTGTTCGAGAGGGGCTCCCAAGCTGGCGACACCGTCGACTACTCGGACCGAGATCCCGTCGCTGAGCTGGACGCCGACTGGGAGAAGAAGCCCAAAGGTTGGCATGTTGCTCTCATCACCACGAATGAGTACTACGGGCGGTGTGCCGTTAGGTCGGTGTGGGACCAGAGCCTCCAACGATGGCGGCGTGAGCCAGTCTTCCACATCAAGCACGTCCCAGTCGAGTCCCTAACGATCGCACAGTGGTACCAGGTATGCCAGAAGGTCAACAAACTTCGACGGGATGCCTACAAGGACCGCCTCCAGCCCCGAGCACAGACCTGGGCCCACATGTGTCAGGAGATCGAGGAGGAGCGCCCAGGGCTTCACAAGGCCGAGATTCGTCGACAGGTCCGACTTCGAGTACTTCGCCTCACCGAGCAGCTCACGGCCGACATCCTAGGAATGCCGGACGACCAACGCCTCGAGATGCTGCACCTCTTTCGGATGGGACCAGCAGCGCATCGCGAAGGCCCTCGATCCCAACTGGTCGGGAGAGCACTTTTGGTCGGCAATAGCCTCCGAAGCCAGTCTGACCGATTGGCTGTTCAAGGTCACAGACCACATGGACCAGCACTTCATTTGTAGGCACCCCTCGTGTCGGCGCGTGATCCATAACCACCGCTGGGTCCGCCAGATCCGGGTCGACGAGCCCATTGCCGAGCAGTCTGGTCGATACACCTGCCCGGCGTGTTTGACCCCCTACAGACCTTGGGCCTCAAAGACGAACCCCCGAGCTTCGCAAGCCCCCGACTTGGTCCCGGCCCAGAAGGCATTGGTCGTGGAGTCCTCGAGCGCCGACTCCCCCGAGATGGACTCTGGGGCCCAACGAGTTCAGCAGCCTGGTCAGAAGGAGTATCTGCTCTTCCTCATGGAGTGGGAGAAGACGGACGAGGACGTCCTGATCGCACGGATGAAGCAGGTGATCGCCGAAGTTCGTTGGGATTCGGCAAATCGTGACGACCCCGTCAAGGCCCTCACCGAGGCGATCATCGAAGCGGGCAGCCGTGTTCGGAAGCTCCCGTACTTTGAGGAGGAGACCTTCTCCGCGTACAACGCCACCGAGCTCTTCAACCGCAACATGTCGGCCAACACGAAGTACCGACTGGACTTGCTGCCAACAGCACAGCGCCCCAATGCACACTTCGATGAGGAGCGGAACACATCTGCCTCCTTCCAGGCCTATGACATGCGGCAGTTCATGGCTGACCCCCCCCGATACCAGTGGGTCCGATACGATTACGACGGGGAAGAGACCCCGGTGCTGTCCCAGAACGATTTCATTCGATTCGTCACCTTGTGCTACACGCGCCTTCGGCTCCTCCAGTACCTCTCGGGCGAGCAGCAGACCTCTGCCATCCCCACAGTCGACCACGATCAGCTCCGCGTGATGCGCTCTAAGCGGAAAGCCTCCGACCTGATCGCCTGAGCGCATTCCGGAGGCGATGCCAATGACCTCCGAGTTTTCCCGTGACGGCGGAAGTTCTGGGAGACGTCGCTTTTGACCTACCCGCCCCGGCGGATGTGGGGAAGGCGGGGTCCCGCCTTACCCAGGAGCCCCTCTTTCGATCCGAGAGATGCGATTCCCCGGATGAAGTCGGCAAAACAGGGGAGGCCCTGCTGTACTTGCCTCAAACACCCCATCAAGTAGCCTTGACCTGCAGGTCAGATGGGTTTTTCAACTGCCCCCCCCGGTACCCCGACCCTTCTGTGAAAACGAGAGACCATCAGCGCGAGATGCGGATTGGACGCCGCGTAGCTGAGTCGTAGTTCCCCTGTGACCAGCCTCAACCCGAGCCCCGAACCCGTGTAGTGCTGCATGTTCATGCAGCGTAGAAGAACCCTGACCCCATGTTGCAGCTTGTGAATGCTGCAGATAGCTGTGTGGGCAGTTATCAACACGACTCGGAACCCGAGGGCAGCTAGTGGACGCTGCGTGTTGCTGCGTGGGCAGCTATGATTCAACTCGACTCGGAACCCGAGGGCAGCTAGTGAACGCTGCGTGTTGCCGTGTGGGCAGCTATGAATCAACTCGACTCGGAACCCGAGGGCAGCTAGTGAACGCTGCATGTAACTGTGTGGGCAGTTACCCTGGTTCCCTCCCTGAACCCGCATCCCTCCCCACATATCAAAACGCAGCTTAGATACGCTGTGTAGCTGAGTTCTCAGCTTCACCCGAACCCCGCCCGACCCTTGCCTGTTCCCATAACACCCAAAGACGCAGCATGTTCATGCTGCCAGCTGAGTTCTCAGCTTCACCCGAACCCCGCCTGACCCGTAACACCCAAAGACGCAGCATGTTCATGCTGCCAGCTGAGTTCTCAGCTGTACACCTCCCCACCCCCCTTTGTACCTGAGCCCCTGACCTCGTGACGCAGCCCATGTACGCTGCAAGGCCGAGTTCGGCCATACCCAACAGCGCCCCCCCTGAAAATGCAGCATGTTCATGCTGCCAGCTGAGTTCTCAGCTGTGCCCTACCCCCCCACCGCCCCAAAACCTTTTGTGTGCCTTGAAGCAGCTTGTGTATCCTGTGCAGCGCTGAGTTGCCAATAGTGATTGAGCCCGGGGACGCAGCCGGTAGGTACTGCGTGGCTGAGGTTTTCAGCCTTCACCCGAACCCCCATGCTGCATTCAGGCCCTCAACCCAAAATGCCGCACTGTTGAGCGCAACTGATCGTTGCTATTCGGCTGAATAGGGGGCCCCATCCTTCCTTTCAGGCGCCCGAACCTCCTTGACAACGCCGCATGGTAGCGGTCCGCAGGGAGACGTTCGCTGACACCCTAGCCCTGCTACGTGCGCATGATATGACCCACGTGGCGCCGCACTTAGCTAGGATGAAGATTGTGACTCCAACACAGCTGAGAGAGGCTCCTTGGGCAACGATCCTCGAGGTAGCAAGAAATGGCCCCGACTTGGAAAAGTTGTGCCTCATAACAGGCCGCCCCGCCCCCGGACCCCACTCCCTACCTCGAGCTCGACAGGATTTCCCTATCATAGCCCCGAGTGCTAGGGGATCGCTGGCGGCAGCAAAGGCTGCAGCAAGCCCGGCCCTCAGACAACAGGCCTTGAGTACTTTACACCAGCTCGAGTACGCTGCGACCACACAGAGGACGCGGTCCTCGCGGTGGAAGTCTTGGTGTACCTTGGCCGAGGCCTGGGACCTCCCACCGATCCCGATCACCACGAACCTCGTGGACGCCATCGGGGCGAGCCTCCGGTTCGGTGGCTACAAATCGGCAAAGCAGCTCTTTAGCCAAGCCGCCCAGGAGCACGTGGCTCGCTCGGGCGAGGCACTTCCGGAGGCCGTGCGCCTGAGGATGAAACAGGTCGAACGCGCTGTGGAGCGAGGACGCGGCCCAGCAGCAGCCAAGGACTCCTTTGTCCTTGAAGACTTCGAGCGCGTCGACCTCGAACGACCTTTCCCCGAGGCCTCCGCGTGGCTAGATTCAGTACAAGCGGCTGTCGATGTGATCGTGATCTGCTGCTGGTGGATGTTCCGGGGCATCGAGGCGGCAGCAGCCAGATTGCAACATGCCTGGACCGAGCAGACAGTACACGGTCGCCTGGCCTTCATCACCCTGCCGTGCCACAAGACGGACACGGTGGGCATGTGCGTTACAAGATCACACGTTTGTTCGTGTCACAGATCGGCACGCTTGTGCCCGTATCACGCCCTTCACCGACACCTTGTACGAGTGCGCCGTTGGACCCCGGATCCTGATGCATTCTTGTTCCCAGGCCGGGAAGGAGCCATGTCGCACACCGAGATCATTGACCTGTTTAGGGCTGCGATTCGCCTGACGGGGTGTCAGATGACCCGACCAGGTCCTCGAGCTGATCTGTTGCAGAAGTTCAACGAGCATGCCTGCAGGGTTTCCGGCGCTCAATTCCTCACACGATTCATGCGGTTCCCCCTGGAGACTGTACAATTGATAGGCCGGTGGGGGAGCGACGCTGTGAAACTGTACGTCCAAGAAACCCCGCTGTGCCATGTCAACGAGCTCTTCGATGGTTATCCGATACAACGACCAGCCCAGGTACGGGAACTCGTAGAACATTACCTGGAGACCTTACGCACGAAATTTTGGGTCGTCAACACCACCACGAAGTGCATTCACATTCCAGGAGTGCCGGAGGTCGCGACCGAGAACATTCACTGGCACACAATCTGCGGCTGGCCTTATGGGCTCGCCCCTCACAGAAAAGAATACAAGCTCCCACTGGGACAGCGCTGTAAACGCTGTTTCCGGGCAGACGAACTTCGAGCCGCAGCCGACGCGGCCAGCGACGACGAGCTCCTCCCCGTGGCTGACGCTTGAATTGCTTCTAGAAGAGGAGACGAACAAGAGGAGACGATGGGGGGGGGGGAATATTCCGCCTCGGCGATGTACCCCCCCCGTCTCACCGTGGACCTCGAACCTTAGACCTTGAACCTTAAGAGCCGTTCGATCGTACAAGACCAAAAAGATGGTCCGTGTCAGCCATCAAGCAACTTGTTTCATTCCCCCACTGACCTTGCAGTGCCCCCGTAGCCTATTTTGCTCCCGTTGACAAGATCAGTAACCGATGCCTGGCCTACCGGGTCGCGACGTTCTGCAAGAGGCCCTGGCGGCCGCCGGGATCGTCGAGGCGTCCGACGCAGTCCTCCAGTACTTACGGGCCATCGGCTTGCCTACGGCGCAGGCGATCGCCACGTATCTGGCCAAGCCAGACTCTATACGTGAACTAGTGGGACGGCTGAAGACGGGCCTACAATATAAGGGGACCGAGTATAAGCTGGAGGACGAGACCATCGTTGAAGCCGTTATCGCGCAGTGGATGGTCTTTGTGAACCAGGCGTCGGATGTCATGGCAGAAATCCGAGCAGCTTCGACACCAGCAGCTGCGCCTTCGCCACACGGGGGAGCGGCGCCACCGACATCAACAGCGTCTGCAACATCGAGTTCCCCCGACGTAGTTCCCAAGGCATTACCGCCCGGGGTCTACGCGAGCCTGCTCGAAGATTACAACAAAGTTCTTGTGGATGGGGAACGCCGTCACTTCCCTGAGAAAACTTTACTCGGAGCAGAACGCACATTGGCCAGAATGCATCACGAACATCAAGTTTCCAAACTTTACACGGCAACACCGTTGGGCGAGATTCTCTCTCAACGGATCTTCACCTCCTTCGACACCATCAACTCCAATCGGAAGAAGGCCCCCACCGAGAAGAAGTTGACCATCGACGACAAGTTCAACATCTCCGAGAAGGCCACCGAGGAATGGGAGGTCAGAGGCCTCATGATGCTGATAGACGCCATCGAAGCCATGCAGTGGGCATGGATCCTCCTCAAGTATGCCACTGAGACTGCGGTGAGGCGATACACGGAGTGGTTCACGAACCTTGTTCGACGACATTCCCAACGAGTTCCAAACACCAAAGCTTTGTGGGACTCATTCGCGTGGGAGATCGCTATGCGGATGCGATCCAATGAGACTTTTGCCGCCATCACCGAGGATCTCATGGCCGACCTCACCAAGGTGCACGATATACTCAACCAATCCCCTGTCAAAAAGAGGACCAAGTGGAACGACGAGACGGCCCCCAAAGGAAAAGGACGTGGAGGCTCTCAACGGTGGCGTCGACCCGACAACAACTGGGGTAGCGGACAGGGTTCTTCATCATGGCAGCCTACTTCGTGGACAATGTCACACCACAGCCTGGCGGACCCATCCCGACCGCAATGGCCACCCCAACAGTCTGTGAGCTTTGCCGCCTACCCGCAGGCTACATGGAACCCGAGCCCACAGTTGTCCTCGACACCAGCGAATGCGCCTGCCAACAAAGGTTCGGGCTCCCCCCCTTGGCAACAAAAGGGAGGAGGCAAGCCCTATAAGGGCAACGGTAAACAGAAAGGCACCCGCAAGGGTGGACGCAAATAGGGACAGCACGGCCCAGGCCCTGATGGGCCTGGAGCCGACCAGGTGAGCACCACCCATACCTCGAGCCGCCTTAACTCTTCCCCAGAGCATCGGATCACTGCGATTTGCCAAGACCTCATCGGTGACATCCCGGTGGTGCATCTCAGTTTCTTCGATGGCATCGGGGCAGCTAGCGCCGCCCTGTTGGCTGTAGGCGCTCGAGTTGCGCTCACCTTGGCGTGGGAAACCGACCCCGGTTGCCGACTTCTGACGACCGAACTCTATCAGGTCGTACACATGGGGGATGTCTGGAATTTCGACGTCGACGAGGTCTACCAGAAAGTCGTGCAATCGGTCCAAGTGCAGAACTTCCTCATCCTCATCACAGGCGGCCCACCTTGTCCGGATTTTTCCCAGATTCGGGAAAACGCCCCCGGAGTGTTCGGGGAGACAGGCGGCCTCTTTGAGACCCTGGTTGAGATCGAACATGACATCCGCGAGCACTTCCGGGGCTACCCGGTCGAGACCATCATCGAAAATGTGGTACCTCACGAGCAGGTTCGACATCATGTCTCAACTCTATCCGAGCGCCTGGCCATGAGTCCGGTGATCATCGACGCAGCAGATGGTGGGGTTATGCACAGAAAGCGACTGTGGTGGACCTCTTGCCGCTGGGACGACATCTCGAATGAGCTGTCCACGGCCACACCGTGGACTCTCCATTGGCATGAGGACGATGTTTACCCACGCCTACACAACCCCATGGCTGCCGAACTTCAACCCGGACTACATTCCAAAGAATACTCTTTGCCAAGGTGCATCCAAGCAGGCAAACTTTTTCATTGCCTGACCACCCCCGCACCGACTGAGGCTGGGCGGCCACCTCCGAAGCGAACCAGGCACAGTCGAGAAGCCATGGCACGCTGGGAACAGGACAACAAACGTTTCCCACCTTGGCAGTACGAATCCGACTTCCTGGTACAGTATCCGGACGAGACCCTGAGCGTCGCACCCGCTGAGCTTCGAGAACGCCTCATGGGATATAGCGGCAAGTACACCGAGCCAATCCAAGAGTTACTCGAACCTACAGAGTATCACCGGAATCGAGCTTTGGCGAACACTTGGCACCTTCCAACCGCGGTGTGGATCATCTTTCTCGTGCTTCTGGGGGTGGCGTGCGCCGAACCAGTACCGCCCCCGGCGGTGACGACAGTGCAACGAGTCGTCTCCTTGTGGCGGGCTACAGCGGTGCCCTTTGGACCACCGCCTCGTCGAGACGACCCTCATTACATGCCACAATTCTCCTGGACCGAACACCTCGAGTGGGCCAAAACCCTCGACCAGAGTTTCCGACCCAAAGACATAGACCCTACCTTGGTTTGGTGCATACAACACCGACATCTATTTCACCCACTCCCAGTCTTTCAGGCAAGAGTCATCGAGGAGATTGAAGACATGGTTCTGGACTTCGAGGAACAGACCACCGACTGGTACAACCTCTTGCTCCCACACGCACGCAGGGCGTACACACACACGTCCTCTCGCACCCAGATACCTGTCTTGCTCTCCTTACTGCAACAGCTCGAGTACCCGCAGCTCTCGGTCTTGTCACGTGAACTCACGCTCGGTTTCGACCTCATGGGGACGATCACACCGGGGGTCAATTGGCACGTTCGCAGGGACCAGAAGTACCTTGAGCCCACCTCCTTGCCTGAGTTCGCTGAGAAGAACCGAACCTACATACACCAAAAACTTCGAGCAGGCAATGTCGACCAACATTGGGAACGCATGGCAGACGAGATAGCCGAAGAAGTCCGAGCTGGCAGGATGAACGGACCCTTCAAAGCCCCGAGCTGGTGGAATGTGGAAACTGTACAGCTACGCAGCGCCCCCGACTTGGCCCTATCCGAACTGCCCGATGATGAGCCCTATATAGCCGTGGCCTTTAGCATTGAACAAATCGGCAGCGACGGCAACAACAAAGTTCGCCGCGGCGAAGACTGGCGCCGGAGCGGACATAACTCCACTTGCATCATGCACGACCAGCCGTTCCACCACACGCCAGACCACTTCATCGCCCTGGGTTTCGAGTGGTTGCGCGGTGACCCTGCCTGTGATCTACAAGTCTGGGGACACGATCATGACGGTGCATATCGACAGCTCCCCCTTCGACACCCCAGACAAGCCTATGTGCTCCTTATGACACCAGATGGACCCACGTTGTGGAACCACAATGTACTTCTGTTCGGTTCAGCAGCTAGCGTGTGGTCATATAACCGCTTCGGCGACATGCTGGTCACCTGTAGTCGGATCCTCATCTTGTGCCCAGCCTTACACTATGTCGATGACTATGGCTCCATGGAACCAGTGGACTCAGCTGACTCCAGCTTCCAAGCCTTCGAAGACTTGAATTCCGTCCTGGGCTTCTTCATGAAGAAGGCCAAACGACAACCACCCGCTGGCGCACAGCGGATACAGGGTGTCCTCATTTCATCAGATTCAGAGTCTCTGGCCCTGACACCATGCCCGAAAAGAGTGCAACAGGTGACACGACTCATCGACGACTATCTCCATTCGGGCACTCTCACCCCCGAATTGGCCAGGAAATTGGCGGGGAAGTGCAACTTCCTCACTGGCCGATTATTCGGTCGCGTGGGGCGGGCCCCGCTCAAGGCCATTTATGCCAGAGCCAACTCCTCCAACACCAAGCTTGACAAGCCTACCCTTGCGGCACTCCTGTCTCTGAAGAATATCATCAATCACTGCCGACCGATGATAATACCTCGTGATCTAAGACCCGCAGCTTTCTCCGTCATCTACACCGATGCGTATTTCAAGTTGGGGAAGACCGTTTACCGCCCCGGCGATGAGGTCATCCCTGAGTGGGACCCCAACCAGACGCCCGGCATCGAGAACGGCTGGGCGGCAGTGTGCTTTTATCACGGAGACTCCTCTCGAGCCACGTACTTCCAGGGGAGACTTCCATCAGAGTTGCTACGACAGTTCTCAGCCAATCAGGCATTCATCTATCTCTTAGAAGCGTGGGTAGCCATTTTGGCGCCTATGATTTTTCGGCCTCTCCTTGATGATGACTATGTGCAGTGCTGTGACAATGAGGCCTCCAGACATGCTCTTTTACGAGGCGTCGGCAAGCACCAACCTTTGAACTGTCTGGTCGCAGCCCATTGGACCTGGCACAACCGACAAGGTTTATCACACCGTCTGGAACGTGTTCCGACTAAGGCCAATATCTCAGATCCTTTCAGTCGTTTCGAGGACACCGAAGAGTACCACGAATGGGTCCAGCTCTCGGTCGATTGGAACCCTTGGACTCATCGTGCCCTAAGGGTTATTGGGGATCTTGAGTTTGCTTGCACCTCGGGGTTTTCCGATATTCCTGGACTTCGGGCAGTCCATG